CCCCGAAATCGGACCGATTGCGTATGCAGCAGAAATCACTGTAAAGCCGATGGCCACACGTAATAATGGTTTCCAGCATCTCTGGAGGTCGCAACATTAAGAACCTGAGGAGCTACTATCACGGGGTCTTTGGAATAATCCTCCCTATCTTACAACGAACGCGAGAGCCATGGTGAATATGATTTCTGCCAAGGCGGCCAGGAAGACCGAGAACTGGTCACTTGGTTTGACCGTTATCTTATCACCAGTCAAAGCGAAAGAGATGCCCGCACCGGCGATGCCACCAAGAACCTATCCGCCGTATGTAGGATGGACGAAGCTTTATGGAAGCTTGATCACCTGGACGATCATATAAATAGGAGCATCGGTGAGTGTGAACTTGCAAGGATTGCCCAGGACAATACCAAGGGTTACCGATGGATTGAAGTGCGCACCAGACACACTGAACAGCAGCTGATCGGAGGTACAGGGCCATTAGCTCACCTTCCCATGGAGAATATCATAACCATCAGAATCGAACCAATCGACAGGGGGGCGTTAGGGTTCTGCATGCTCACATTCAGCCCCACAGTGAAGACCAAGAAGAAGGTTCCAATAAACTCGGCTACGTATGCTGGGAATGTGTGCAGAACCGTCTGAGAGACAATAACAAGGTCCCCAAGATGGTCGCCAATCATAATCGACTCTAACCTAAAACGTGCTAAACCGAGCACTGTACCCATGAGAGAATCCTGCTCGTGGAGGGACCAATATGTACTTACTGTTTTTCTGTTCAACCAGATAGCTTTCATACTCACTCAAGGATCGAATCTCAAATGCCGAGGCGGGGCAACTTACGGAAGGTGCAAGAGCACTACAACTGAAGACAGAGCAGTATGCTTGGAAAGGGGATACCTAGTGGCATGCCTTAGCTACTTCAAATCACAGAGGAATAAGAGTCGCAGGGACATATAGGGCATACTGTAGGTGATAGTAGACAGCGCATCTTGGACAAACAATACTAAGTATACCGTTCTCAGTTCTTAGCAACATCATGCTATATAACTAATATACAACAAAGCACGCATACATCCTGGGCTTGCAGTCCTCAGATCTGCTTCTCAAC